AATTACCATTAAAGCGCTCTCAAGCAGGGCACTGCTCCTCACCCCACAACTGTTCTGTGGAAGCATGAGCCGTGGAAACTGGGCAGCTTACAGTTGTGAATCGCCCAGGGATCACAAGCTGTGCTCATTTTGCTTGCTAAATGAGGTGGAAATGATATTACACATTTTCATCTTACATGCAAAAATTGACCTTTTAATATTATATTAACAACCTACATTTTGAGAGTGCTATTATTCTACCAAAATGCATAACAGCAGCACATTTGCCAATCTAAGCACAGTACGGTACTGAGATTCCTTCCCATTGAAATTATTTCTTTTTTTTTCAGACTGCTGTGCAGAATGACTCTGTATTAATACCACCACCTTATGTTATATACTGTATGTATAGTGTTGGTCATACTCTAGCAGTAGTCCAGTAAAGCACTTTCCAAGTCTGATTGAAACTGAATGTGTGGAACCTACTGCACACACTATTGCTGTAAATGGGGTACTACATTTATGTGATGTTCTTAGTCAACATGCCTCATTAAATCAAGATTAACTTAATGGAGGTGCAGTATGGTTTCAGTAGTTAATGTTCTGCAGCCTATTATTACTATGATTTCTTTATGCAACCTAGCCAGTGATACAGTAATAATGTCATCACAGTGTTAAGGTAGTAAGGTATATCATAGTGCTGCTTTATATTGATGATACAGCTGATAGAGTCAGAATAGAGTATGAACAATTATCTGGAGAGGCAATTACACAGAACATCTTTATTTTTTGTTCAAATGTATGAAAAGTCTCTAATTTGCCATCTTGCTGCAACAAATTTAGAAACACAGGGATTTGTTTTATTTCACCAGGGGGAAAAGTAGTTACAGGCAGCTTCAATACATGTAAGATCAAACTTAAAGAGGGGAATTCAGTAAGAAGGAGAAAACGAAGGCAAAATTCATCTGATTCGGTAAAGCAAAATAAGCTTCCAGGCGGACTCTGTCCACACAAGCTGGTTTTTAAGCAGCATGAGGTTCTTCTGATGTCACCTGCATCATCATTTACTTAAAAAGAAAGTGAAGAGAGATGCCAACCAAATCCACTGATCATCACTCTTGTGACAGTCCCTCTGCCTAGGATTGAAGTTCAATAGCATTTTATCAAATCAAAATCTTTTTTTCTTCAAGCCTGACCTGACTGCTGACTCTTGCTGCAAGGAACTGTTGAAATAAACATGTCATGGTATAAATAGTATTAATTCCACTTCATCATTTAAAAATGTCAACTACACAGATTGCTGGTTTATCTTCTTAGCACTATGAGGCAACTGAAATTTAACCGGCTACACTTACGCTGGCAAGTTAAGACTGAGACCTTTCCCCTTGATGTATTCTAGATAAATGTTTAAACAAGTAACTTATAATTGTTTCAGCCTGTTGCTGTTTTTACAGATGGCAACAATGTTTAGCCAAAATGCATAGAATTATTTATTAGCAGCCAAGCCTAACTATGTCTTTTACAGTACTTGTGGCAAGAGATGTCACTAACTACAGTGGGTACGGAAAGTATTCAAACCCCCTTAAATTTTTCACTCTTTGTTATATTGCAGCCATATGCTAAAAGTATTTAAGTTCATTTTTTTTCCTCATTAATGTACACACAGCACCCCATATTGGCAAAAAAACACAGAATTTTTGACATTTTTGCAGATTTATTAAAAAAGAAAAACTGAAATATCACATGGTCATAAGTATTCAGACCCTTTGCT